CTGCAGCAGCAGCCGCTGCGATGCTGCAGCTTCTTGCTGCTGCTCCTGCGCCGTGTCGAGGATCGACAGGCGAGAGGGGCCTGCTGCGCGCCCCTGCTGCTGCTGCTGCTGCTGCTGCTGGGGCGTGGCCGCGAGGCCGAAGGCGGGCAGCAGCAGAGCCGCTAGGTCCGCCCCTGCAGCGGGGAGCTGAGGTGTACGTACACCGCAGGACTCAGCCGTTTGAACTCTTCTTACTTCTTTTTCGGTTTCCAAAAAGAGCCTCGACGGAGCAGTCCAGCAAAGAAGGCCAAACCCTCAAAAAGAGCTGAAGAGGACTTGAGGGACTTTCGCAAACCCTAAACCCTAGAGACCCTACCCGCCACTCCAGCGGGTCTTCTCTGGGCTGTTCAACTTTCTGCATTTCGCACTTTGCAAAAAAGAAATGCGCAGCAGCAGCAGCAGCAGCCTTACGCGCGCCTCCGGGGTGTCTGCACAGCCCCCCTGTTCCGGGAACTTCAACGCGAAGTTCAACTCTGTAAACACTCTGCAGCAGATGGGTTTTTGCTGCAGTGCCGCGGCAGCAAACGAACGCACCGGAGGGGCACATGAGCCATTAGCGGTTTGTTTTGTTTCGCCTGAAATGCAGTTTAAATTCCAATTCAAGTAATTCCAATTTGAAGTCCCGGGGGAAGCGAAAAACTCACGACGGAGGCGTTCACAATGACGAAGTTGCACGGGCATTCAACAACGCCGCGAACAGCCTCTGCATGCAGCGTTGAGGGAAACTCGACTTTAATTTGAAATTTAAAATTAAAAAAAATAGATTTCGGACCCGCTGGAGACTTGTGTCGCCGCGGACAAGTCCGGATCAGCAAGTTTCCGAGCGCCCGGAACCTGCACTGGCGCCCAGCTTTCCGCTTGGCGAGAAAAGTTGCAAACAGGAACTCCACGAAGTTTCCGCCGTTGTTTCGGAGAGAAATTGAAACAATAGTCCATTTGAAGTGCGACAGAGGGTCCAGGTACTGTTCTGTGTTCATGGAAACTGCCAAGCCGAGCGTTTCCGCTTCCTCGGCGCCGACCACCCGCACGCCGCCGTGCGGACCGAAAGCTGCCATTTCCTGCCGCTTTCTCTCTACCTCTTGAACATTATTTTGCAAAGTTCGCAAATTGCACGTTTGCACAGCAGTTGGAGCTCAAACGCAGGCAGAAACCAGCGGCGGCTTCGCCGGAATTCCGAAACTGAGGGCGCACTGCGCACGCCTCAGGTGTACAGACAGCTCTAGCGGGCTGCAGGGAATGCGCACGCCGCCGAAACGGCAGCTAAAGAATAAGTTGCTGCAGCTCACTAACTGCAACTAAATGCAGGAACTAATTAAATTGGAAATACTATTTGCGACGCATTCGCCAAAGATGGCCAAACTTTAGACTGTGAAGTCCCAACCTGTTTCGCTTCGGCCGGCCGGCCACTCTCGGTGATTAAAAAGACCCTTCACGGACTCAACGAACGCTGGCAGATCTCAGCTCCTCGCATGCACTAATGCAAAAGACAAATGACATCTGGAAAGAGTTTTAATGACAAACACGAAAATATCGCAGCTGGAGTGGCGGGAGTTGAATTCCCAGAAAGGCTTCTGTGCACATCCGGAAACAGCACACACTGTGCTTCCCTCCCGCGAGTACTGCATTGCTCTCCACTCGGGCCCCCGCCGCCGCCGCTGCTGCTGCTGCTGCTGCTGCTGCTAGAGGGAAGCGGACTCGTCAGGATTCAGCCGCTGGTCAAAGACACTCATGCTGCTCTTTGGGCGACGCTGCAGCAGCTGCAGCACTTCAGCTGGAGGCTCCAAACCCATTTCCGCAGCTCTTCGCCACCTGTCTTCTCTGCTCAGGCCCATGCAGGGGCCGTACTGCAGCCACACACATACGAACAAACCCGCATGCATGCATGCATGCATGCAGCAGCAGCAGCAGCAGCAGCAGCAGCGGCAGCAGCAGCGCAGCGCAGTGTCGCTTCCCGGGTGCGGGGGCGCAGCTCGCCGCCTCGGCACCCCCAGCTGCAGGTGCAGCAGCAGCAGGGCCCGCAGCAGCAGCAGCAAGCGCAGCAGCAGCAGCCGCAGGAGGCTGACCATGGGCTGCATGTCGAAGCGGCGGAGGAGCTGTTCGCCGTCGTCTGCTTCGACGGAGCACCACTTCAGTGTGGGATTTGCTGCTCGGACTTCTGCTGCTGCTGCTGCGAGTTCTTTCTGCGGGAGCCCGGGGCCTGCGAAGAGGCTGGGTGCGGCGCGCGCCGGGGGGCCCCCGGGGGCCGCCTTGGGGCCCCCTGCAGCAGCAGCAGCAGCAGCAGCAGCAGCAGCGGCCTGCGAAGCCGAACGGTGCTTCGCCTTCCTCCTGTCCAGCTTCGGAGTCACCAATGGAGACCCCAGAGAGAAGGGCTTTCCCCCAGAGTCCTTGGAAGGAGTGCGGGGCTCTGAAGGGCTGCGCAGCGCCGCGCGGGGAGTTCGCATTTCAGCTTCGGGGAAGCAGCAGGGGCTGTCGACATCTTCCACTTCTGCTGCTGCTGCTGCTGTTGCTGCACTTGAAATGCGCAAGAAAGGCGTTTTCTGCGACATTTCCGCCGCCGGAAGCCCGCGCGCCCCCGCCGCCGCCGCCGCCCGAAACCCGCGCCAACTCAGACTGGAAATGCAGCTTTTGAAGTCCCGAAAAGCCGGAAAGCGCCTCTCAGAAGCCGCATCTGTGTTTAAAAATGCCAAAAGCGGAAAGAAAAAGAAAAAGTGTCCGGCGGAAGTCCGAAGATCGCGCGGAAACTCGCGGAAATTCAAATTCAAGTTTTTGCAACGCGCGCCCGGAAACCCGGAATCCGCGGGTCTTCCCGCCACCTTCTCGGCTCAAAATTCCCAATTTAAGTAATTTTGAAGAAATAAAGAAAAACGTTCCGAAAAGAAAGCAAAATTTTTCACCCAAAAACTTGAACGCGGCGGAGCAGCCGCCGCGCGAGAGCCGCCGGTCAGGCAACCTGTACGCCGCCGCCACGTCCAGCTTTCGCCTTCCAGCGGCAACTAAATAATGCAAATATGAATCTCTTTTGAATTTAACATTCAAGTTCGAGCTTTCCTCAGTGTCAGTTCTCGCCGCCGCTCCGCCTCGCTGCATGCACCGCGCAGCAGAGCCCCGCGGGGTGGCTGCGCGGAAAGCGAAGACACTGCAGCAAATTGACGGCAGTTCGGTTTTATGTTTCGCATTTCATTTGCAAATTGCTTCGAGATCGTCCTTTTGCGCGGCTGGCTGGGCCGCGGCGAGCGCCTCGCCTGCGCGGTGTTGAACTTGGCCGCAGACGCGGTTTCCGGCGAAGTCCGCGCTGCAGAGGCCTCAGCAACTTGAATCTGCTGCAGCAGCGCATTTCGTTTGTCTTTTCCTCTTTCTGGGGCCCCGGGCGCGGCGCCGCTGGGCCGGTTGCTGCTGCTGCTGCAGCAGCAGTTCGCTTCAAGATGCACACCCAGGACAAGAGCGGCTTCGGGGTGGCCCACGACTTCCACGGCTCCCTCAAAGAAGATGCGGACTTCCCCATTCTCTGCGAGACTTGCTTGGGAGAAAACCCTTATGTCCGCATGCAAAGAGACAGAAACGGCAAAGAGTGCCACATCTGCACTCGCGCCTACACCGGATTCAGGTCAGCGCGCGCTGCGTGGCTCCCGCGGTGTACAGACACCTCGAGCCCCTCCCCAACGCCCTTCCCCACATGCATCCACTCCCGAAGCTTCCCCTGTCTCTCCAGGTGTACGTACACCAGGTGCACGTACACCAGGTGTACGTACACCAGGTGTACGTACACCAGGTGTACGTACACCAGGTGTACGTACAC